TACTATGAAACATCGATACATATATAGGGAGAGAGGAGAGAGGCGAGCAAGATAAGAGGGAGTCAATCGAGAGTCAATGTATCCTAATACATGTGAATCACACTAGATACATGTATATGTGATATCATATACACTGAAATACATTATGATATACAGATACATAGGGAGAGAGGCAAGGTAGATAGGGAAAGAGACAAGGAGAAAAACACGAGAGAGGCGAGCGAGAGAGGCATCATTGTATCCAAATACAAGCGAATCAATTTGAATACATTGTATCTGGAATATATTACACCCAATAAATTTTAACTTCGTGTATCCGAGATACATATATCTGGGGATCAAAATCTAACACGAATGGTATTCTAAAACTCAGGGGAAGGCAAATAATTAGGCTTTAAACAAGTGAGATTTATGTTGTTTGTCCTTATATTAAAAATTAAATAGATGTTCATTTTCTTACTTGTTTAGTTTTAAAAAATCAAACATAATTTGTCACTTAAGACCTAATTTACCTTTTGTAAACAACTAAATTTTCATTCCTGAAAAATAATAATCAAGATGAAAAAAATAGTGATAAGTAAAAATATTTGATTTCAATAATTTATGAAAGGATTACAATCTTAACAAAAAATTCAATTATTTAAAAACGTAATTATCTTATTATTCTCCTCATGATCGTCAACTCAAGAGCTTTGCTTTATTCTTGAATGATAAATCGATGGAATAATTATTGGAATTTTCACCACAAATGTGGAACCAAACATTGATCACAATTATTGAGGTATGAAAACATGCGTCGCATAATTTGGATATGAAAACTTCTTTGTATGCGGAATACTTGCGAATCACCATCAAAGAACAAAGATTCTTTATGTATTTCTCTTCTTCTTTTTTTCGTGGTCTTATGAATACCCTTTTATATAGGCACGAGCTATGGTTTAAGGATATTTGGTCTCTAAGTAATTCTAAATATCTCGAGCTTCACAATTATGAATTAGGCTCATCTTATCAATTTAACAAACTGACCCAAACTTCATTAAGTCATATAATTTTAACTTAAACATTAATCTAATTTCATCAACCAATAATTTGACTTAATAGACATATTAAGAATTTAAATTTAATCCAAAATTTAATATGACAGGATAGTTGACAAGTATTAGTCTAATAGAAAAATAAAGTGTGTCAATTACTGTATAGTCCCACTAGTTTAACTCCACATTTAGAGTATATATATGTTGTCTGTATAAAAAGAATGTGAATATGGCATATGCAATAACAATAATAATAACACTAAAGTAGTATTCCACTTGTGCATGCTGGCAAACTTATAATTTACTTTGAACTTCATATATATCATAGTGCCACAATATTATATATTCTATTTTCAAATCCACAGTTTAGGATTCCCATTTTCTATGTAGCTAAACATACTTTTCTGTGTACAATCACTCAATTGGGAAAAAGAAAAACAAAAGGTTCATCTATGTGTAGGGTTCAGAGATAGACTCGGATTGTAAGAGTTTATTGTACGTAGCTGATATTATTTTGTATTTTTGCAAGAGGTTGTTTTCACCCCTCGAATTCGTAGTCACGTGATAGAAACTAATATACTAATTACGTCAGGCTCCTGATCTTCCCGTTAAAAAACTTATTTTAGTTTAAAATTACGAGTTTAGAATATAATATTTAATAAAATTTCTAAAAAAAATTAAGCTTTTCAAAAATCAAATAAATTTATGTCTTACTCACCTTAAAATCTTCCAAATATGTATACATTAGTGTGCAGTTTGATTGTTTTTTTTTTTTACTTATTCAATCTGCTTGCTAGAATTTTCATGTGTTTTATTCACTTGTTGATTTAAACTCATAATTTATGAATTAGAGATATAAATATTTATCATCCGAGCAACTTGTCATGGTTAATTCTCTGCCATTCAATTTCACTTGAAATATTAATAAATAAAAAATGCTCTATAAAGTAAAGTGAGTACTAGAAGTATACTGTTTTGATTTGTCATAATTTAGTATAATTAGGTTTGACTTATATAATAGTGATAAATATTAAATAAATAGAAAGTGATCAAATAGTATAATCATTTGTCAGGAACCAACAAAGAAAGCTCTTTATGCTCATTTAAATAGAGTTTTTTTAGTACTCACTTTATTTAATGAAGAAAATTAAGAAAATAACATAGAAATACTTTGAGAGAAAAAATACTGCAGTATTATCAAAGGGAATTGATTTATTAATAATTCAGAGACATACATTTATAGATATAATTCCTAACTAAAAATAGAAAAATAAGCTACTAACTTGTCAGTAAAATTTAAATAACAAATAAAAGAACTAACTCCTAAATTCAAGTCACATAGGGCTCTAATAAAATAATTTTAAAAATCTAAAAATAGCTAATTGTTTTATTTCTGCAATATTTTGAGACATATTCTCAACAATATATTGATCCTAATACTTTGATCTTTACATAAATTGAAATTTAAAAAGTACAATATTAAAATGGTAAAAGAGTTAGTTGCCTCCTATTTCTGCAATTTAGTCTGAATTTCAAAGATTTACCCAACCCGAATGTACATTTAGCATATGTCTAAATTTCGAAGATTTACCCAACCCAGAAAAGGGGAGGTATATTTAGGATATCTTTGGTACGAACGAAAATATTTTCATAAAAAATAAATTAATTTTATATAAGTAAAAAATATTATCTTTATTTTTATATAATATAAACAAATACGATGAAAGATGGGTAAAGGTAGAAACATGGTGCGGGTCAAAAGTTATGGGGTTAGGGGTGAAGTCGTAAAGATAAAGTGTATTGAAAAATGAATAGAACACAATTAATATAAAATATCACATTAAAAAAACTTATTTTAACTAAAGAAAATACTTATAGAAAATTTGAAAAATACTTTTCAAAGAATATTTTTCTACATAGTGAACGTACCCTAAATTTGGTAAAATTTTAGATTAGGAAAGAGACATAAATTTAATTATCATTATAGAGCTAGGTTGAAACTACGTAGTCTGGTGGGAAAGACAAAAATTACAAAGAGTAATCAAAATTTAATTTTTCTATAATTTTAAAAAATAAAATACATATGTATTTAAGAGTTGGGTTTTATTATGAGTTAAAAAAAAAAACCAATAAGAAAGTGATGAAATGGTATACGCATGTGAAACCAACTAAGTTTTTTTTAAACCTTATAGTATAACTAGATACAAAAGTCTAGACAAAATCGATCTCAATATATATTATTTTATTTATTTTTAATTTTATGATTTTGTTGTTACTTATTTTTATAATATTTTAAACGTACTTTTTAAATAATATATATTTTGAGATTTAATATACTTTAAGTTCGTAATTTTAAAATAATATATGTAATTTCTCATGTCCCAATTTATACATGGCACATGTGAAATTTTGAGAATTAATCAATTTTTAAATACTTTAAGTTGTGTTTTATAGTACTCTTAACGTAATTTTCAAATAATAAATGTTATCCTGTTGTCTCAATTTATGTGGTACATGTGAAATTTCGAGAGTTAATCACATTTTAATATGTTTTTCAAATATTTTAGGTTGTTAATTATTGTGCTTTCACTTTTTACTTTTTGAAAGTACATTCAAATTCTAAATATTTTTTGCAAAATGTATGGCTGAATTTCTACTACTAATATATAAGTGACAATAAGCACACCGGGCGTCAACATGTATGTTTCACCACGTATGTCAACATGTATGCTTTAATTGCGTGTTTCACCACATATTTAGCTACATGTCAAAGGTCTCTGGTTCGAACCTGAGGTCCAAAATGGACAGTGAAATAAAAATAATATTGTCACTCATGTTTGAACCGGAGACTCGTGACATGTAGTGACAAGCTCCAACCAACGGCCCAAGTAGCTAAATATATAAATAATTGTTTATTATCACTTATATATTAATAGTGTCAAGCTCCAATCAACAGGCCAAATAGCTAAATACGCAAATAACTGATTATTACCACTTATATATTAGTAGTAGATGTAGCCACTATTTTTCACCTATATTTATTATATAATGTCAATTTTTTGGTAACTTTTTTACGTGGACACTCGAGAATTAGTGCATTTCCATGAGTGAAGATGAAGGAAGAATCTAAAGTATTTTAAAGTTACATGGAGGAATATTTCCCAAAAAAGTTCAAAGCTTTCTAATATTTCCATTTTCCATGGCATTTTTTTGTTATTGATTATTTCAGGAGAAATATATTGCAACCGTTTCATTTTATACGATGGCATTTAATTGAATAAAAAAGTTAATAAAAAAACACTAACTTTTAGCGCTTAAAACTTGTGATATTAAATATATCATGACATTTTTATTTAATGGCTATAAAAATTGTGTCATCAAGAATAAATAAATAAATAAAAAGAAAAATTAAGTAGATTCCAAATATAAAGATGTCATTTTTAGAAAAAAACATTTAACCCGAAAAAGTGTCATATAAAATCATAACATATAGAGTAATTAAAAAGACAATTGTGTCCTCAAATGAAAGGTAACCAAACACCTTTAGTCGGTCAGTATTTGGACATGCGATTTCAAATCGTGAAACGAAATCAGCGTTCACATGTGTTTTCAAGCTGATTTAATAAAATAAAAACCAACTTTTCTTTATATATTTTCATCTAATAGAGTAATTCTTCAAATTTTATGAAAATAAGTGGAACATGAAAAATTCTTGGTATATCAAACTCTAATGCGGATGTCGAAAATCAGGTGGAACCAAGAAAATATAAATGAGTGGAGCATTAAAAAGGACTAATAAAAAGGTCATTTAGTAAGACACGTCACGATTTAGTCAAAATGAGATGTATTTTCATGTTCTTATTAAAGTTTTAGCGTATTATGAACATCTCTAGTTACTAATAGACTTAATTCCAAAGAGCCAATATCAAAAAATTTAAAGAAAAATAACTTCTTCTAGACCACATGAACCCAAAAAAATAAAGAGTCACTTCATTGATCGACAGGTCACGCAAAAGATTCACATGATTGAAAGTGAACAAACTTAAGACGATCACAAAACTCTTAGTTCAATGTTGATTTTGTAGCCTTGTTTTAGTGATAAACACATGATATTTGATATATGAGCTCTATCCCAGCGGGTTTTATATAACACAAGAATGTACCCACACGATTGCACGACAGAAGCTCATCAGGCAGCACGAAGAGTTCTCTAGTTATAACAGTAGTGTAGCACAGTCTAATGGACAAGACGAAGAGCTTTAAACTTCAGAAGATTCAAACAACTTCTCAACATCTGCTATTATGTTTCGAGCTTCTTCAAATTCAGGGCCTTGTTTTTCGTCTGTCTCCTCTAACTCAACCTGAAATAAATTATCAGCAGAGAAACAATTCACATGAGCTCCTTAAGTGAAATAGATGGTGGCAATAGGAGGCATACTTTTAGCACAGTTCGGTTCATGCATCTTTATTAGAGTTGAACTAATAAAACATATTGGAAATTAAGTAGTCTTCCAAGTATCACAAATAAAAGACTTCATAGCATCACAAATCATTTTTTTCTTCTTTTTGGGTGTTCAAGAGATTTGTAGGTACTAATTTTCAAGGCAAAACTTGAGAGCTTTCCACATTACTCATCCTGGAACCTCACCCCTTACCTTATGGCATTCATTTTCGTCTACTTTAACAAAGACTTTCTGCACTTCTGCTGAGGTTCATTTTCTTTTTTCACTTTAAAAAGACATCCTGATAAAGTTTGTAATACAAAATCAGAACAAAGAAAGCTAAGGTCAAATGCATCTTGAGCTGTTTTCGCACAATCAACAAACGATCAGTTGTACCAATAATGCTAAAACCTTCACTCATAACAGAGTGGTTGGACTTCTTTGGTTCAAGAGTACATATTATGTCCTAGTAAGTCATCCCACAGTAAAAAAATAAAAATAAAAAATCCGGCAAGACAATTTCATGAAATAGATTGAATCAGCTACAAAGATTATATATAATCTATCCACTTAGATCAGTCAGAATTAGTGAAAAAAGACATTTTTCTAGCAGGAAGAAGTCTTTTGAACTATTAGATATCAGCAAAGACAGCACTCATTAAGAGAAGGCATGTCAACTACATAATGAAGATTAGGTTAATTTGATCTTAGATGGTGCAACATACTGATACTCGTGTTAGATAGCACAGTGAAGATCTGTAGAAGATGGGAGAGAGTATTAGGCATATGATTACAAGGGCATCCAAAGTCTTCAATTGTTTGGATAATTCATCAGAATCGGAACAATATACGGGGAAATAAAGCAACATCATACCCGACTTAGCTCCTGTTGTCTGGTGGACAGCTTTGCGAACAAGATGCTGAAACTCCAAGAGAAATGACCTAGCTACGGAATTAACTATGTGTCTCCTTTGTTGACTAGGAGATGTGCAGACATTGCATACTATAGACCGTAGAAATCAGGGTTGGAGTGTTATTGAGTGTTGAAATACAAAACGTCCTTATTTGGAATCTACTACATAGGTGGAGGGGATGGAAAAAGAAGAGCACAAACATCCCGTCAGCATTATTGATCAGTGACAAAGAGAGGTATCGTTGAAGTACACTGGCAAAAAACACATGGCACATCAAAGAGATGATACTCACACTTATAGTTACCAGATATTTCAAATTTAAATCTCATCTCAGAATCTGGGGGCCAAATAAATTCTAGGTGGACGCTCAGTTGATAGTCCAGCCCATGTAATCCCTATAGAAGCTCAAGATAGGAAACCATGAGAAGCCAAGTTATAGCCCAATTTCAAGTGATACAGAAATGGTCTATCTGGTTCCTAATTGAAAAAGGGACCCAATTTTATATCAGGGAGACCATGCCTACAGCTCACAAAGAGAGTTTTCTAGAATCTAGACACACTGAAGATCAAGATCTGAGCAGCTTTGTTTGGCAGTTTGTTTCTTTCACTTTGAGCTGAAGAGGTCTAGGAATCAATATTCGAGACAGTTCCGACTTTAGTGAATTATCAAATGTCGCAAGTGTATTACAAATGTTAAGGGACCAATAGGTAGATAAATTTAGAGACTTCAGTGAGCAAATGAAGCTCTCTGATAATGTGACCGTAGAGTTGGAGCAGATGGGACCTGTCTTTAGCTTCAAAGTCGGATAAGCTTCTATTACCATGGTATGAGGGTCCAGACAATATGCAAGAGGTGAATTTGACGCATCAACATTAAGGTGCCAAACTCTGTTCGTAAAAATATATGAACAGGAATTGAGGTTCTATAGGAGGGTTTCAATAGGAGAACTCAGATTTTCTTTTCTTTTTTACACTAGTAACATGGAGAACTCAGGTTTTCTTCTGAAGAACTGAAAAGGCATATGACACAGAAACACTCTCTATCCTCTCTAAGCAATTGGGGTTTCATACGAAGGGTTTTGAAGGGGAAGCTCAGAATTTCTTAAAAAAGAATGAACACAGATGAAGCAGAAACAATCAGCTTCTCATCAGCAGATCCCCAGATAAGAATGAGATAAAGAAGCTAGAATTTTGGAAATTAAGGGACCATTGATGACACAAAGGGAAGAAAAACAACCAAAACTAATTAACATTTCTTGTCTAGTAAGTGAGGAATAGATGAAACCATGGAAAAGGAGGATGCCAAAGATGCTTACTTGACAAAAATGAAAGATAATATCTTCTACTTCAATGAAACAAAGAGTGTGTCTTACCGAATTGTCATCCAAATAAAGTGGAAATCATGGAAAAGGTGGATTCGATTAAGATAATATCCATAGGTAGAAGAGGTGGCGTATTTATAATGTGGAAATAGAAGAGTTTGGAGTTGCAAGGATAGTCAGTTTGGAATTATAGATTTCTTTTGTCAGTAACCCAGTAACCGTAATGCAACTAAAAATCCATATGGATAGCTGCACCATACTCTAGGAAAGATGTCACTGTCAATATTTGGGTCAAGGAACCACATGAAAGGTCTGACAAGGGAATCTATACTTCCGGTTATAGAAGGGCTTCCTCGGGGAAACGAGTTGATCTCCACAACTTGCAAAGAAGTGAACATCATTATTAGCAAGATAAAGGCTCTTTGACATATACCCTAAGACAAACACATTTAAGGATCCTTAATGTACTGCACTCATTATTCCAGAGGAACTACAAAGGACTAATCCAATGTTGAGTTGCAGCTTGCAACACAACATGGCTTAATTTAGCATAAAAAAAACAACACCTCCTTTGACGGATCAAACTACTTGCAGGCTTCCATTGATTCATTTAGTTATCTTCCTACATATTTTTCCTAGTTGTTTCATTTTATTTTTCAGTTCTCCTCCTGGATTGGGGACAAGAGAGCTATAGGTAAGCAAGCAAGAAGGATAGGTGTAAAAAGGCAAGGCAAGTGGCCCCAATGTCAATTTGAATAACTGGTAAGTGTCTCATGTTGGTCCTTTTAGTGATTATGGGTTGATCCTAGTTTTTCGATTTTTTAGTTTTCCTTCAAACAAAAAATATCGGTTTATTAATTAATTTATTTTTATTCTTTATTTATATTTTTTTCTAAGGAACTAATTGCTATCCCAATTAGGAATTTTGTGCTCTCAGCTTCTCTCTGGGATGGGGAGGGGGCAGTTTAAGAGGTGGGAAGCCCAGAAGTGTGAAGGCGTTAAATGAAGCACTAATAGGCAATAGCATATTACACAATACCAGAGTTCCTTTAAGGTCCTCTAGTGCTCCTTCCAGGCGCTTGCGACAATCAGGGACCATCATTCTGGATTCAGCCAGCACATTTTCCTGCATTACACACACAATAAAACAAGGCAAACAAGTAAGCAAGGGATATTAAGGCCTCATTTGTTTTTATTAAGATTAAGACGTTTGAATTTGAATGCGCATATGAATGATTAAGATGGTGTCTCTAGATTTTAAAACCGAATGATTAAGATTGTTTATCTTTTTTTGATGACCTAAGACTGTTTATCTTTCAACATCTGAATGTGCATAATTTATTTATTTGTAAGCATAACAAATATACAATTCAAATAAAAAAGTATAAATATTAGAAAATATATATATATATATATATATATATATAATAAAATCACTATTTGACTAAAAAAAATGAAACATTTATGTCACTAGTGATGGTGGAGATGATTTGTAGTGGTGGTGATGATAGTTGTGAAGGTGGAGGTGATTGGTATTATAGTGACTGGTGTGATGGTGGTGGTTGATAGTAGAGGTGGTGGTTGTGATGGTGAAGTTGGTTGATGTTAGTAGTTAGTGGTGTTGATGGTAGTGGTTGACAATGTGTTGGTGGTGGTTGGCGGTGATGCTAGTTGTGATGGTGAAGTTGGTTGATGTTAGTAGTTGGTGGTGTTTATAGTGGTGGTTGACAATGTGTTGGTGGTAGTTGGCGGCGATGATAATTGTGATGGTGAAGTTGGTTGATGTTAGTAGTTGGTGGTGTTGATAGTGGTGGTTGACAATGTGTTGGTGGTAGTTGGCGGCGATGCTAATTGTGATGGTGCAGGTGGTTGGTAGTTAGGATTGGTCGTAGTGGTGGTGAAGGTGGCACGAACGGTGACGACAATGGTGGTGGCAGTGGATATAATATAATGATGGAGGTGGTAAGTGTGATAGTGATTGACAATAGTGGTTGGCTGCGGTGGTGGTGGTTACCAGTGGTGATTGTGATGATAGAGATGGTTGGTGGTGGTGGCCGGTGGTTAGCGGTGGATAGTTGTTGACAATGGTGGTGATGGTTACGATGACAGAGGTGATGGCTGGTGATTGTGGATAGAGTGATGGTGAAAATTTTCACACGAAAATACCTCTTAATGATAATAAGACTTTTGTTCAAGATCTAAGTGATTAAGACTTATTCAAACCAAATAAATGCTTAAATCTTAATATAAGCAAATGCACTTAATGTTTGAATCATTTCCCGAACAGAAACAGATGTTGAAGGTTCTTCGACTGGTTAAATGCATGTATAAACCATACAAAAATACTTCAGGTCTAGTCTAGGAAAAACTCAGATGTTGTTGGTTAGCTCTAGTTAAATTTGCATATGATGGCATCTAAGCTTCTACGAAGCTAATGCTCAGTAGAAAACTAAGAAGAAAAGAAAGATTATTCTTTCTACTAGATCAGTTGAATTTTATTAGACGAAATCACACAGGGAGGTTGTTTAACATAGATACAATCACTTATCAAAACCCTGAATCAAGATGAAAACCGAAAAAGGAATAGGAGATGTTTCTTTCACTTGAATAAATTTGCCACAATAAACTGTTTACTCGTAGTTGACACTACATCTTTAGTAACTCCCTTTTCTCGCTTAGTGCTACCTCTCCTCCTTGTTAGACAACTTCTCTTAATGTATAATCACTAATCAAATAGGCATATAAACATGTCACAATTCATACATTGATGCACATCTGTGACCATGGCACAAAAAGGAAATAATGGTGGTTTTTTTAATAGATACTTGGTATTTTGTTTCACTACACATCAAATTGCATAATATGTCCTTCAAAATCCACGATCTGCATAAGGGTAAGGTATGCGTACGCACTGTGAGAAATATATACGAAAAATATTATTGAATTGTGTATCTAAATAGTTACATTGAGACCCTATTTATAGACACTACATTGGAATCCTTTTCCAACTAGGATTCCTATTCTTATTCCTATTCCTATTCCTATTCTTATTTCTATTATAAGTAGGAAATACTTATTTCTATTCTAACACTCCCCCTCAAGCTGGTGCATACAAATCATATGTACCTAGCTTGTTACAGATGTAATTAATACGAGGACATGTGAGGGACTTGGTGAAGATATCTGCAAGCTGATCATTTGACTTCACAAATTTCGTAACAATATCTCCCGAGAGTATCTTTTCTCTGACAAAGTGACAGTCAATCTCAATGTGCTTAGTCCTTTCATGAAACACTGGATTTGATGCGATATGAAGAGCCGCTTGATTATCACACACAAGTTCCATCTTATCAACTTTGCCAAATTTTAGTTCTCCCAGCAACTGTTTGATCCAAACTAGCTCACAAGTTGCTGTCGCCATTGCTCGATATTCTGATTCTGCACTAGATCGAGCAACCACATTCTGTTTCTTGCTCTTCCACGACACCAAATTACCTCCTACTAAAACACAATATCCGGATGTCGAACGTCTGTCAGAGGGTGATCCTGCCCAATCAGCGTCTGTATATCCAATGATATGCTCATGGCCTTGATCCTCAAAGAGTAGTCCTTTACCGGGAGCTGACTTTATATATCGCAGAATACGAACAACTGCTTCCCAATGACTATCACAAGGGGAAGTCATAAACTGACTTACAACACTCACAGGAAAAGAGATGTCAGGTCTAGTCACTGTGAGATAATTCAACTTTCCAACAAGTCGTCTATACCTTTCAGGATTACTAAGTGGCTCCCCCTGTCCTGGAAGAAGTTTAACATTCGGATCCATAGGAGTGTCAACAGGTCTACATCCCATCATCCCTGTCTCCTCAAGAATGTCTAAGGCATACTTGCGCTGAGAAATAACAATACCTGATCTAGACTGAGCAACCTCAATACCTAGAAAATACTTCAATCTGCCAAGGTCTTTAGTTTGGAAGTGCTTAAAGAGATGTTGCTTCAAATCGGTGATACCATCTTGATCATTACCGGTGATAACAATATCATCAACGTAAACAACCAAATAGATACATCGACTTGGTGCAGAATGCCGATAAAACACAGAGTGATCAGCTCCACTACGAGTCATGCCAAACTCCTGAATTACTGTGCTGAACTTCCCGAACCAAGCTCGAGGAGACTGTTTTAGACCATAGAGTGACCTGCGCAATCGACATACAAGGCTACTAGACTCCCCCTGAGCAACAAAACCAGGTGGTTGCTCCATATAGACTTCTTCCTCAAGATCACCATGCAGAAAAGCATTCTTAATGTCCAACTGATGAAGAGGCCAATGACGAACGGCAGCCATAGATAGAAAAAGACGAACAGATGCAATTTTAGCCACAGGAGCGAAAGTGTCACTATAATCTAGCCCAAATATCTGAGTATACCCTTTGGCAACAAGGCGAGCCTTAAGTCGATCAATCTGACCGTCTGGACCAATTTTGACTGCATAAACCCAACGACAACCAACAGTAGATTTACCTGCAGGAAGGGAGACAAGCTCCCAAGTACCACTCTTATGTAAAGCAGACATCTCATCAACCATAGCCTGCCTCCATCCAGAATGAGAAAGTGCTTCACCTGTAGTCTTAGGAATGGAAATAGAGGACAAAGACGACACAAATGCATAATGGGGTGATGATAGACGATGATAACTTAAGAAGGTATAATGTGGGTTAGTATTTCGAGTGGATCGTATACCTTTTTGAAGTGCAAGCGGTTGGCTAGGAGGAGGCAAGTCCGCAGTAGGAGCAGGGTCTGGCGCATGACATGAATCATCTGGGACTAGGGTTGGACGTGGACGGCGATGATAAGTTAGTAGTGGTGGCACTACAACTGGAGATGTAGAAGTAACCGTAGATTCCACAAAGGTTGGCACAGGTAAAACCTGAGGTATGGGTAAGACCATAGAGACATCAGGATGATCAGAAGATGTATAGTAAGGCTGAGACTCAAAAAATGTAACATCAGCAGACATAAGGTATCGATGAAGATCATGTGAATAACAACGATACCCTTTTTGGACTCGAGAGTAACCAAGAAAGACACATTTGAGGGCACGAGGAGCTAATTTATCTTTTCCTGGGGCTAAGTTATGAACGAAGCATGTGCTCCCAAAGACACGAGGAGGGATAGGATAGAGATGTGACTGAGGAAACAGTATGGAATGGGGAACCTGATTCTGAATAGAAGAAGAGGCATTCTATTTATCAAATAACAAGACGTAAGAACTGCATCTCCCCAAAAACGCAATGGAACATTGGATTCAAGGAGAAGAGTACGAGCGGTCTCAATAAGATGCCGATTTTTTCTTTCAGCTACACCATTTTGTTGAGGGGTGTATGGACAAGTAGTCTGGTGAATAATGCCTTGGTGAGTCATAAACTCCCGAAATTGGGAGGATAAGTATTCTAAGGCATTATCACTACGAAAAGTACGAATAGAAACACCAAACTGATTTTGTATTTCAGCAAAGAAACTTTTGAAAATAGAAAATAACTCAGAACGATCTTTCATTAAGAAAACCCAAGTACATTTTGAATAATCATCAATGAAACTAACAAAATAACGAAATCCTAAGGTGGAACTGACTCTACTAGGACCCCAAATATCAGAATGAACTAATGAAAAAATAGACTCTGAACGACCCTCAGTACTACGAGAAAACGTAGCACGAGTGTGTTTCCCAAGTTGACACGACTCACAATCTAATGTGGATAAACTAGACAAACTAGGCACCATCTTTTGCAGTTTGGATAGACTCGGATGTCCCAAACGTTTGTGAATTAAATCTGGGGAATCTGTAATGGAGCATGCTGCTAAGGAATTTGAAGAGGTAAGATAGTAAAGGCCTTGTGATTCATGTCCTGTTCCAATCATCTGTCCCGTACTGCGGTCCTGCATGAGAAAAAATCATCGAAAAAAGTTATGCTACAATGTAGGGCTTTCGTCAAACGACTAACAGATGCTAGATTAAAAGGAGAACCAGGGACATAAAGAACAGAGTCTAGGGTGACAGAAGATAGGGGTTTGGCTTTTCCAACCCCTTTTGGTTTGGTTTGGATCCCATTGGCTAAAGTAATAGCTGGAAGAGATTGTGAATAAACAATATCGGATAAAAGTGATTTATTACCAGAGATATGATCAGAAGCCCCAGAGTCCATGACCCATGTTCCAAGAGTACTAGATTGCGACACACAAGCAAAAGAATTACCCGCAACAGAGACATCAGGTTGTGCAACCGAAACTACTTGTGGAGACGTTTGCTTATTTGCGCGATTTCGAAGGAACTCATTATATTCCTTTAGAACAATAGGATCATAACTGGGTGGTGGACCATGCAAAATATAACATATATCACGAGTGTGTCCAGGCTTATGACAATGACTACACTTGGATCGAGGTTTCCCAAAACGCCCTCCTCCTCGCCGATTCTCCATAGATTGATATGTACGCTTTTCAAAGGTTTGAGATGCAAGAATAGATAAGTCAACAGTGGGTGATGAAACTACCTTGTGACTGGGAGGTGCCGCAAGACGAAGGAGACGAGAGAATAATTCATCGATTGTAGGAACTGTAGGGCTAGCTAAAATCTGATCACGTACAGAATCATGATCAGGAGGAAGTCCAGCAAGAGTAAGAACTAGAAACAATGTTTGTCTGTGTTCTTGTTGTTTTTCCACATTCGTAGTAACTGGCATTAATGTGTCAAATTCCTCCATGACTGCCTGTACCTGTCCTAAGTAAGTAGACATATCGGATTCTTGTTTCTTTAAGTTGGTCAATCGAGATATCACATCATAGAATCGAGATATGTCATTAGTGTATAAAGCACGAGCCTTTTCCCAAACTGTATAACACGTCTGGAATGGGCGAAACAAGGGCATCAACTTGAAATCAATAGAACGCCATAGGAGACTACATAATTGAGCATCTACTTTCTCCCATTGTGCTTTGGCTTTTGCATCTTCCTCACTAGTCTTTGCCTTTACATCTACCTCATAAGCCTTGTTCGTTAAGTGATCTTGGACACCTTGACCCTTGCACCACAACTCAACCGAGGAAGCCCAAGATAAATAGTTTGAACTTCCCAATAAAAGTTCTGAAGTGATTATAGGGCTAGAACTTCCAATCCCCATATTTTTGGAACCAAAAACATCACACCCAAAAGACATTATGCTAAATTTGTCTCGGAAAATTCAAATCTCGAAGAAAAGTCGCCGGAAACTGCCTGGAAATAGCTGGAACTCTAATTCCGGCGATCGGATCTGGTCAAAAACAGTATGGGCCTGGTCGGATTGGCTGGACGACCTCAACTGTCAAAAAAATCTCAAAAAAATATGATCAGAAAAGCCCTCACGCGCCGGCGCGTGAGACAGATCTCGCCGGAAACTGCCACCTCCGATAGGCGCGTGAGAGCGCGTGGGGTGGTGTTTTCCGGTGGTTTTGGCTGGGGTTTGGTCGCGGGGGCTTTCCGAGCCTCGTGGTGGTGTTGGTTTTCGCACAACACCCACAGAAAGAAAAAAGTATAACAAAATCAGACCCAACAGTCACCGGAAATTGACATAGACATACGGTGACTTGTTTGTTCTCACCAATGCTCTGATACCATGTGAGAAATATATACGAAAAATATTATTGAATTGTGTATCTAAATAGTTACATTGAGACCCTATTTATAGACACTACATTGGAATCCTTTTCCAACTAGGATTCCTATTCTTATTCCTATTCCTATTCCTATTCTTATTTCTATTATAAGTAGGAAATACTTATTTCTATTCTAACACAATCTCCAATCTCCCCAGACCCCACATGTGGCAATACACCGGGTATGTTGTTGTAAAATCCAAGATAATTTTTCTTTACATGATATTAATTTTCTATCTCAAGCCACATAAACCAAGTGAACTTCAGAAATTTTACACGACACATTGAATGTTAATTTTGTGATCTCCACTAACTGAATTTTATAACTTAGAGTTAAGGAGGCATTTGGCCATAAAAATTGTGGGTACTTGAAAAAAGTAGTTTTTGTATCAAAGTGAAAAAAGATATTTAAAAATTGGAGCTGTGTTTGGCTATGAATATAAATTGGAGTTGTTTTTTAAATTTGTGAGTATTTTGGGATTTGGAGTGGAAAAAGTGAAAAACAGCTTTTGGGTGTTCTTCGAATTCCGGAATTCAACTTGTTGACACTGAATTCCAGAACTTTATGGCTAAAAAAGTGATGTCTGGAGTTCAACTCCAGAAAAATGTATAATAAAAATAATGGCCAAACGCCCCCTAAATCTACCTATTTATCATGTGTATGTGGCAGCTGGGGAAAAACCACAGTTGAGTAATTCAATTTAAACTCTACCTGCCTAATCAAAACAATTTACCCACTATTGTGATGAAATGCAATAGCAGAATAAGCCCTTTACCAAGTTACGATGTAAATATCCTTAAAAACTGTTCCAATGTCCTCCATTAATTACACCAAAGTGGGGAGTAAACAGTAAGGGAAAGGCCAACATTGGGTGAAGAGGAAAGTTGTTGGATCAGGCACCAAATCAAAAGTGAAATCTTAACACAACAAAATTAAATTTTAATAAAAAAGTAGAAAACGAAGGAACCTGCTGTTTGAGGTCATAGGGATCGGCGCCTTTCTCCTTCATATCAACAGTCTTAGCAGCTTCTCTCTCAACCTCTTTCTCATAGGAATGGAGCTCCTTCAGTATGCGTTTGCAAGTAGATGTCTTGATTTTCAGATTTCTGACCGTAGCCATTGTCAATGCTCGATGAAATCTGTCAAGAAAGATACTAATGTGTGAAATTTTGAGAAGGTTTAACAGATAATATTAAAAGGGTTTGTGCAAGAGCTTTCGGAACACAAAAACATTACTATGTAGGAGAGTAGGAGATCTTTGGTTGGATGATTGACTTGTTACCATATTTATAATTATTTATTTTGAGATGATTGTTAACATATTTATATTGCATCGTTTCTTTAAATATATGATTCGTCTTAACTGTTATGGTAAATTCTATACTAAACATCTATGTAATGGAATTATATTGCAAATATTTTTGTTTTGTTTTAAAATCAAACACTTATACTTTTATATCATAAAATTTTACATAAAAAAGTTAACAAAGTTCCCTTTCCTCAAAGTGCATGTTAACAAAACTTCTTGGCACACGGTGAAACTCCATATGCCATTGCTAGAATGGCTAGAGGCTAATGGAGGAAAACAGAAAACAAGATTCAACTCTTGGATGTTAAGCTGGCTAAGGCGAAGAGAGGATACCATAGAAGAAAGAAATTGCAGCCGCCACAGGAACAAAGGAAAGAGCCTAGAAACTGAGCCTGCTATGTCCCAGCAAAACATCGCGGTGAGTGCACAGAGTGGAGCATTATAACCCCTTTGAATACAATTAGTGAAAAGGAGAGGATGAGAACACACAATCATCAGCTCCAAGGAGTGTGATTGCCCAGATCTCAGATCCAGTTTTGTGGAGGGGTACCAATAAAACAGTTAAAAGAAGCAGCTGGAACGCAAAGGAGGCTAGACATGACACATGCAACTGCTATGAATAAGCCATGGGTAAGCTTATTTGATGGAAACATAAGGCCATCTAAAGATATGGACCTTAGAGCATTTTTTCGCTTTTAGCTTTTGATAACACTGGACGACTCCCCAACTATTGTTGCAATAGCCAGATTCATTGGTAACCAAAGTTCCTATGCTTATAAGTCTATAATCTATTATCACAAAGATGGGTACTTCATACTCAAATCTCATAGCATCTGTGATAGAGATGAAATTGTGCTATCAGGAGCCCATATCATAAATAATAAACCAGTCACTGTTAAACCATGGGTGCTGATTTCAGATTCAATGATGAAGTATTGAAAATGATTCCAATATGGGTTAAGCTCCCTAGCCCTCCCCAAAATTGCTGGGGAATGAACTCCTTAAGCAGAATAGCCACTGGTTTGGGAACTCCGATATATGCTGATAAATGTACTACTAAAATGGAGAGGATCTCGTATGCATGTTGCACGAGTACTAGTTGAAATGGATGTCATGATTCCTCCACCTGAGATCCTTGAAGACAAGGTACTTGATCCTATTGGTGCTATATTTGAACAATAAGTAAGATATGATTGAAGGCCACAATGTCCAGTTAAATCAAACCAAAAAAGAACCAGAACAAGTAGGCTCCTCCCAGAGTTGAGCCGAAGAAAACTAAGTTTGGACGAACAAGGGTGAGAAACCAGCTGAGGCAAAAACAGGACAGAACCAAAGGAAGGAAATCAATGATCAAAGACCTAGAGACAAGAGGCACCTGAGGCAATTAACAGGCAGAAGTTGGACCAACTTGAGACAATGACGATGAAACCTGTATGATAATTTCACAAGAATGACAACTTGATTGACTCAAGGGTGTGACCTAGTAGTCATTGAATCCAGCAGAGGCAAAATCACTAGGTGATTCCTTCCCATCTATCCTAGACTAGGTGGATAGATTGACTTGGTACATGTTGCTAGAGGAAGGCAGCAGGTATCCCGTGGAATTAGTCGAGGTGCACGCAAGCGGTTATTACAAAAACAGGAAATGAAAACTTGATTATAGCAAGAGGAAGCCATGAGCAAATCACTCTATCAATTGAATAGAAACTTAGTCAATAATCATGTATTTAAGGATATCACATCAAACATTTTTTTCATTCAAACATCAAAATGTTCAGTTAACAAACCTAACCATGATTTTCCGGACAATTTCAACATGAAAGTTATGCAGATTATATTCTAATAAGACCAAGACTAACTTCCTCAACCCAGAATAGACAGTGATCCATCCATAATACCTTACGTTTCAGTAACTTTTTCCTTATCCCAATCAAACTTCCAGAACATGTAAACACAAGCAAAGCTCTCATTGCAACATAACAATCATCACAAGCCTTGTTGCATTTAAATTACTATAAATAACATAAAGAAAAATAGTGGTAATCCCTTAATTAAAATAAGATCCGTTTTAACAAAGACAAAACTCAACCAAATGAACAAAAATCACATTTTCCTGCAGTTCAAAACTCTACCGTTTCTCATTTCAATTCCACTCAAAAACACAATTTAGTAGCAATTATGCTATTGTTCAATGACAAAGGATTGCTTAACTTAGACGCAGACAATTTTCAATGCCATAGGACTAACCAGTTCACGATCTACCTGACTACCCAAAACTTACTCCAAATCAGTTACTTAGACTTCATGGGATCGTCTCTCAGACAATTTGTCAAACACATTGCAGGCAGAACTTTAACGAAACTATTTGTACTACTCAGAAAATTGAATCACCCTCCCATTTACAGGGAACTTTAACCAAACTCCACATCAAACGAACCAGAGAAAAAAAACTGGGAACAAGAAAAGAGAGAGCACGAACCCGGAGGGCGATGGTCGCTGGGCTAGTGTACTGCCGGTTGTGGTGCGTGAGCAGATTCTCGAGATGTGTGTAACCTTTACAAGAAAAACCTACTATAGAAGCTTCAATTTTTTTTAAAAAAACATCCCTTATTACTCTTCTGTTTAATTTGGAAGGTTGTTAGTTGTTACATATTGTATCGTAATATGTGTTATATTGTATTGTTTTAATTAATATAATATTTTAATATATAAAAAGTAAGGTTATTCATAATTATAATTAAAAATTAAATTAAATCGCAATTCAAACTAAACTGATTAAAAAATTGATATTTGATTAGGATTGATTTTAAATTCTGAAAATCGATATTATTTGATTTTGATTTTACTAAAAAAATAACTAAATCGAACTGAGAAATTGTATACATAAATTTATAATTATTTATATATATTATTCATAAAAATATTATTTTTTTGTTAAGAATTAATAAACGTAAGTCTTTAATTTTATCATTTTATCAAGTCCAACACTTAAATCTTAGTCCAACTATTAAAATCTTAAGTTCAAATCTATCAAAAATTATTACTTTAGTTTTTACCTAACCTACCTCACATTAGTTTGTCATAATTTCTCAATTGTTGAGCTTGGGGTTATTTTTTTCTTATAAAAATCTGATCTTTGGTATCACTTAACTAAATCATTTTGTTCGTGAATTAATAACTCTATTATTACTTAATTGAATCAACAGTGATTTTATGTGGATTATTCATATACTAGGTGTTTGTGTCTATGGAGATGCATATGCCCTCAACAAACTTATTACTTTCACATCGAAAAAATCAAAAAATTGAACCAAGTCAACAATAATCAAACCGACGGTTTTTTTTTTTTTTTTTGCTTAGTTTAGTTTGATTTTAAAAGAGAAAAAGGTCTGAAATATATTCGAACTTTGGAAAGGACCTTTTACCCCCCGCACAATTTAATAGTGTATTTTAAAGGTATATATGTGCCACGTGGGATCATTAATTTTGCATCATTATAAATAGTAATGTGTTCACGTGGGCACATATATACCTTTAAATTACACTATTAAATAGTGTAGGGGGTAAAAGGTCCTCCATAAAGTTTGGTTCGTAACAACAATTTCGGTCAAAGTTAAAATATTTTTCAGACTCTTTTCCCATTTTAAAATTTAAAAAATTGATTTGATCTTGATTCTAACCAATAATCGATCCAAATTGAACCATGAGCACACCTAATAAAAAGGTAGAATAATGAATAAACTAAGATTTAGTATAAATATTTAAAAAAAATATTAAAATAACGAAACATCAAAGCGATCATACGAAATCAATCCTTATAAAAATATGACTTTATGTCGTTATCTAAAGAGGATTTTTTTTATAAAAAAAGAAAAGAAGTGCTTAGTGTAGCTAGTGGTGGCAAAATGGGTGGATATTCGCTCAATTAGTCTATTTTAAAATAGATTGGTTATTTATCATTTAAAAGTGAGTGAAATATGAATCAATTCATATTATCTATCATAAAATACGGGCAATTGTTATGAATCAGCCCCAGCCCAATAGGGATACCAACAAGGATATCACACAAATAGATATTGGGCCGAGTAAAAGCAATCGGGCCAGGCCTTCACAAAGGATTGTTTGGGATCCAGGCCCATTTACACTTTGTTAAAAAGGGCAAATGAGTTGGAAAGAAGGGTTATGCAAATTGTTAAAGAAAAGAGTGTTTCCTCTCATCTCCCTTCTTAGTCTAAGCTTCTCATCCCCTTCTATCCATCTATCAATTCCCTAGTTCTTATGTTTAGTATCTCTACGATTCTGTTTGGGTTTTTGCTGTTTGCGTTGTTGCATTTACTTTGTGGATTTGTAATTGAACTCTAGTCTTGTTAATATAGTTGAGAAGTTTGTTACCGGTACAATTGGATTTGAGTTCATTACAGCAATTCAAGGGTATCAATCAATTGCAGTCTGCTTAATATATGTAAGGGTGTATGTACATTTATTAAGGATGTATCTGATATGATGTAAAACATTTTTGTTAAATACTTTTCAATTTTCTCACATATTTGGCTTACACGTTTTTTCTATTTTTTTAGGAAAAAACTCTTTCTCTAATTTAAGAAAAAGTGACTTTCATAGATAAAGTTGGAAGGAGGGTGGGGGGAATTAAAATTTTCCTTAAATAAGGAAAATATTTTTAAAAATTTTCCTTAAAACTCATCACTCGAAATGAGTTCAGACTTGAGATCCAATATTCAACCCCAACTCTCAACCTTGACTCAAAAGCTAAATTTTGATCTCTCGACCTCGATTCAGAACCAATAATTTTTCCAAAAAAAAAATTCAACACAAAAAATAAAATATTCTCCTTCATATCGAACACACCCTAAAAGAAGAAAAAGAATAAGATTTTTTTTGTAATGAAATTAAAGTACATACTTCTCTATATAATAGGAATTAACGGGTGATATGGATCGCTATATTAGGGCAAGCTAAATAAATCTCACTACTTTAGATCCAATTACTAGGATTCCCTATAGTTTTTTATATTACTTTCTATACCATTTTTTGGCCTTCGGATATATGTATCATGACCCGTCAGATACATGTATCCATCATATTTACTAGGCGAGATACACTATATATTACTTTTAAATTAAAGGGTATAACTTATCTCCTTAATTAAAGGAGTTAATGATGAGTAATTAACAACCAAAACAGATTTAGATGATCCTTTCGTATCAACTAGTATAAGTTTTCCTAAAATATAGAAATCATAAAGCATAGTAATTCTGAAATTGTAAACTCCATCTTCCTTATCAATTCCTTCCTTTGTATGTGCAAGTTTTGAGTTCCAAATGGCCAATAACATGAGCGTCGTTGGATTTGGCCACTCTGTAGATCATATCGACGGTGGAGAAACCGCATGGACCAACAAAGGTGATTAGGAGGTCGGAAGGCCCAATTAATGTATCTGATACATAATTGAGATATGATTTTATGTATCTAATTTTTATCAATGTATCTGATTAAGTATGTATGCATCTTCATAAACAAAACATGTATGTTAGACTCCACTGCGCATTGTTGCACTAAACGTGTGTATCTGGGTTTAGTTATGTATCTGATATGTTAATTCAAGTTTGGCCTATTTTTGTCATTTTAACTGAGTCATTTCTATACTTAGATCTATTTTCGATTTGAATGTTGGCGGATGAAGATTCAAACCCTACAACCATTCCAAAATAGTCAATGAAAAGAAACAAAGAAAAAGTGCTTACATTGAAAAATTATTGTTAATGTGAAATACCTTTAACAAGAATCATACAATTTTGTGAATTGCCAGCCATTAAAATAGTTTGGAGAAAGAAACAAATCAAAATAAATTAAACCCTAAAATCGAACATTAAAAAAATTGGAACTCTGACTCAAATGCGTGAAAGTGAAGAAGCCTAAGATACATTAAAATAAGAGCGAATAATTAAACAAAATCTTAATCTACATCTTTATGGCTGATTATCAATAATTAATTTTGAATTTAGTACATGCAAACATGTTTTGACAAGATTAAGGAAGAAGGAGAGATGGTGGATGTGTGTAAATTGTGGTGGGGGCTGAAATGCGGGTAATTGGGGAGGAAAAAGTGATCTGAGAGAAAGTAAATAAAATTGTTAATGGAAGCCACAAACAATTTGTTGTACTTTGAAACTTAATCTCTTTATCTTACTTTTCTTTCTCTCTAAAAAAAACATATTTTTCTCTCCCAACTGATAAATAGATCTAGATCGAAGAATAGTAAAATTATTTTGATTTTTTGTTTTCCAAGATTAATCAAAGATCAATAAGAAGAATACACGAAAGTGTAACCTAACAGGAAGCAAAGCCAAATATTGAGTGCAACCTAACACAATAAGACAGTGCAACAGGCAGGGTAGTATACAATTCAGGCAGTAAGGCACTGGATTTTTTAACATAACATAGAAAGGAGGGCAACATAACAACCCATAACAGAAAGTGCAACTTGACAAACAATGCAACATAACACAAAACAGGCAGTGCAACAGGGTGGTAGTGCAATATAGCAGGGAGGGAGTACAACTTAGTTGGGAGCGAATGCAGCATTGCAAACAGTGCAACAAAACTACCCCTAACAAAAAGTACAACTTGACAAGCAGTGCAACCTAACTCAACACATGCAATGTCGTGCAACAGGTTCATTATTTTTACAATATACTTGTGTTTTAATTACAGGGCACTGAATGCAATTTAGGAAGGAGAAAGTGCAACTTAGAATGGAGGGAGTGCAACATACCAAACAACTCAACATAACAACCCCTAATAGGAAGAACAGCCTTACAAAAAGTTCAACCTATCAAACTGTGCAACCTAACACAACACAGGTAGTGCAGTGCATCAGGCAGTGCAGGGCGCTGAATTTTTTAACATATCATAGAAAGGAGGGCAACATAGCGGCCCCTAATAGGAATTGCAACCTAACAGGAAGTGCAACCTAATACAACACAGGCAGTGGAACAAAGAAAGAGTAAAATTTAGAAGAGATGGAGTGCAACATCGCAAACAGTGCAACATATCAATCCCTAACAGTAAGTGCAACCTAACAAGAAGAGCCCACGAGAAATGCAACCTAATAAGAAGTACAACCTGATAAATAGTGCAACCTAACACAACACAGGTAGTGCAGTGCAACAAGGAGGGGTGCAACTTAGAAAAGAAGGAGTGTAACATAACATATCAAACATTGCAACATAATAGTCCCTAATAGGAAGTTCAACCTTACAGAAAGCACAACCTTACATGAAGTGCAACCTGACAAACATTGCAACCTAACACAACACAGGTAGTGCAGTGCAACAATTTCATTAATTTACAATAAACTTGGGCTTTTATTCAGTTTAGGTAGGGCAGCAGAGAGGGAGTGCAATATAACTTCCCCTAACATGAAGTGCAACCTTACAGGAAGTACAACCTTACAGGAAGTGCAACTTGACAAACATGCAACTTAACACAACACCAGTAATGCAGTGCAACAAATTCATTATTTTTTACCATAAACATTGCA